GAAACAGAAGCAGACAAATGTGGGTTTTGGTGTGTGGTGGTGGTCCACACCTGGCTGGTGCCCTAATTCCATAGTAGCAATGGTTGCTAGGTGTTTCCATTTAGCTAGATCAGTGTGCCCAATGGATGGTCCAAGCGCCAGATCAGCTCCCTCCTTAACCTCCCGCCTTCCCAGATTTCCCCGAGGCTTTCACCATGATCTCCCCACAGCGGAGGTGGGATGTGGCCCTACACGCAGCCCTGTGCCCCACCACGGCTGGGCGTTCCCCATGCCCAAGGAATGTGCCCCGGCTGAGAGGAGAGCTCACAAGCGTATCCTCTCCTCCCTTTTCCCTTTGCTCATCTCGTTATCCTTTGCTTTCTTTTTTATCCCTCCCGTAGCTTTTTGTCTTGCCTCTGGATGGAGTTCTGCAAAGCTCTCACCAAGACCTTCATTAAACGTCCACACTCATATTGGCTGGGAGGGCAGAGAGGGTGACTCTGCCCCCGCAGCTCCCCTGGCTAGGAGAGAAGTGCATGTCTTCCACCCCTCTCTGTCCCCTTGTGCTTTGTGTGTGGAAAATCTTAACCCACTTCTTTTCTGCTGGGTTCTCTCGTTGGCTCTTGTCCCTGTGGGTGGGTCATTTCTGCGTTTCCATTGCAAAGTCATCCTTGTAAAAACAACAGCGTGAGTGGGAACGTGGAGATGGCTAGAGAGAGCCACAGAGCTGCTGGGACAGATGCCAGGGCCCATCTCTGCTTCTCTAGGAGCCGAGGAGCCCTTTGGCAACCCAAAATTGTCAGTGCGGCCACGCGGTCCCATGCACGGTGCTGGGCTCCAGAGAACACTTCTGTTCTTTATCATTTCATTGTCTGTAATTGGTTTCCTACTGAATTTGTTTGCTTGGTTTGTTTTGCTGTGTGTTTCTGGGAATATTCTGCATCTCTGTATTTTAATTACAGTAAAATTTGAGAATAAAAACCTTGGTTATGCTGGCTCTTGTTTCCAGTCGGGGGAAATGAGGAGAGGAAGCACAGTTGAAGGAAGATGTTAGAGATTCCTTGGGAAATCAGATCACTTCCCTAAGGGCTCTACATGAGGCACCAGGCAGGGCTGAACCTCCGTCCCTGCTTAAACTAGGACATGGCTTTCAACCACAATTCAGAAGCCATTTTGCTGTAGGCGCATTGCCTGATTGGAATGGTACGAACAGTTTGGATAAGACTTCTAAACTCAGTTTCTTGTGTTGGTTTAAAGACCAGTGCACGAGAGGACTTTTGGGCCGGGGACAGCTGGCCTAGCCCTGAAAGTGGGATTTCAACAGCTGAAAACAGGAAATTTTGCCTCTACAGCCACTGTTCCTTCGTGCAGGTTGGCATAGCCACTTTTCCCTACTGAGGAAGTGAGGAAAAGCCTCGTTCCCCCTGCAGCAGCCTGCCCTTTCTGCAGAAGGCAGTTTGACATCCCTCCCCAGAGCTGCGGGGGAGCCCACGGGGCAGCCAGACCCTCTGCCTTCGCTCGCCAGCTGGCCGGCAGCGCGGGCACTGGGGAGGGCACAGCCAGCCGCCTCGGCCACCTCACCCACTCCACGGGCACTTACCCAGGGCAGAGCTGCCTGGTGCTCCCAGGGACGCACAGCCCTCCTGCAGGGAGCAGCGCAGCCCAATGGCTGGGCTGGGCTCTGCTGGATCGGGCCCCAGACAGGGTGTCCCTTTCACTGGGTCGAGGCCAGGAGCCAACAGCTCAGCATTTGTTAAGTGCTGACAGAAGGATTAATTTAGTAACTAATAACAGGGCAATCAAGCCATTTATTTGGTTGACGTTTTGCTGCCAGCTGCTCAGTAAGAGCAGTGAGCAGCGCACTGATGAGGCTGGCTGCAGCCACCTCTGCCACCTGCCCCACTCCTCCGTCCTCGCCCGCAGACACAGCCGGGGCAGCGTGGCTTGGGAGGCGCTGAGCAGGAGCAGGTTTGGCGGCGGAGGGGACAGGGTGAAGATGCTCATTGCTCCTGCCCCTGAGTGAATGAAGGTGCCTGGGGTGGGGGGTTCTCCTAGGAGCTGCCCCCATGCCCGCCGTGGGGAGGCAGATGGAGGAAGCACCCATCCCACCCATCCCACAGCACGTGCACGCTGTTGCCCCACTCCTGCTCATGGGCTGGAGCCGGCCACGTCGCCTTGCAGACAGCACAGCTGAATTACAGGTGCTCCAGCTGCAAGCCCTGAGGAGAGGCCATCAGACGCATCACCCCCGCTCACCTTTTCTGCAGCCCAGCTGGAGCAGGTTTGGCACGTTAAGCCAGGTTGCAAAATGCCACTAACAAGCTGCCCCTCCAGAAGTCTTTAAAGGGGGCAAAGGATGCTGGAAAATTATATGTAGTTACAGCCTTCCGCTGCCTTACCCAAGCAGTGGGTGTGCAGGCAGCATGTCCTAGCTCCTTGTGTGTGACTGCAGCACCCAGTCTCACCCTCTCCCAAGTAAGACCTCAGGCTGGGAGCTGGTGGGCAGCAGACCTTAGAAGACACCTTTGGAAACAAGACCTGCCCAGGTAGGTGGGCTGTGGGTGGCTCAAACATGCCTGTGCCAGGAGCGGGTCCAGCACTGGGAGCGTGTAGCTGTGGGTGGATGTGACCAGCTGTGGTCATGTCTCTGTGGGTCCCTGTCGTGCCTGGCTCCAGGAGCAACAGAGATGGGAAACTGCTAGGGCATTGCTGTCCTCTGTCCCCTAGGGACTGGCCCAAGTGGCTTCCCATCTGCAGCTGCCTGTGGTCTGTGGGATGTGCCTGGAGGGCTGGGCTGTTGGGAGGACTCTGTCCCAGCCGCGTCGGAGGAGCTGGTCGGCTGTTCCAGCAGGCAGAGATCAAATAGACCAGCAACGTCTTGTGTCTGGCTCTTGGCACTTTGCTGCGGTGCTGTATTGCTCCCACCCTGCATGCCCGGCTTCCCCGTCCAGCTGCTTGCTGCCCTGCTCAGCCCGCAGGCCCTGCGTGGCAGGGGCTCGCTTGCTGCCTGCAAGGTGCCTTGCACGCAAGGGCCCCGCTTCCACAGGCAGTGGGCAACTTGCGCAGAACAGCTTGTGCGTTGCCAGGACCATCTTCTCGTTTGTTTGTTTTCATTCTGGCAGTTTTATGACTTGAATTCAAGCACTTTTCTCTGGTCCTCCAGGGCAGGGCACACCAACGCTGGCATCAACAGCGCCAGACATGGCAGGGGGACAATGAGGGGCAGCCTGATGGGGCCGGGCTCACCATGCCGGTGCCGTGAGTGCTCTGCAGCCAGGCACTTCGGCAAGTCCCGTGCCCCCATGCAGGCCAACATGCGCTCAGGTCTGTAAACAACCACGGGTTCTCGCTTTTGGCTTAACTACTTGCATTTTGACACGCTGCAGGTGCAAACACGCACGTGCCAAAGGAGGTGACTGCGGTTCCCTGCCGCCCTGGGGGCTGCGGTGCGGCTCCCCCAGCCTTGCCCCCGCCCGCTCTCAGCCCTGAGTAGCCGGGCAGGCCAGGAGACGCTGCTCTCTGCGTGTTGGTGTATCCACCCCAGTTTAGTCACCGAGGTCTTCAGTTGAAGTTCACCCCCAGGTCAGTTTTATTGCACGTTTATTTACAGAAAACACAGAAATAAAGCATTAAATGTGTTGGGCTTTTACCAAACCACCCAATCACTTCCCTCCCCCCCTTTTTTTTTGTGGGTTTTTGGCACAAAGAAATATCACAGGTGTTACCAAACAACCATGTACAAGCCGCTGACCAACTGCTCAGCCCAATAACAGGACTTAAACAGGCAGACATGTCGCACCAAGATCAAAAACGAGGAGGTTGTTCCACGTTCAGCTTCCAGTCTCACCTGCTCATCGGGGGCAAGGGGAGTTATTCTGGAGGGGACGACACCATTCATAAATTATATTTATATTTACCTCTTACATTGTAAAAGTAAACAGTGCAAAGTACAGTACCCCAGGTACCCTTCGGTTTGGAAAGCTTGAAGGTTGCTTTATACATTTTGTGTGTTTTGTAAACATTGTTACCCATCCACAGTTCTAGCTCTTGCTTGGAGAGACCCGACTCCTCTTGCGTCCGAAACATGTTGAGGGGCAGCAATCGCTTCCCCTGGACTCTGTTGAGATTCCCGCTCAAGGTTTAGTGCAAATTTTGGAGAGAAAAAGACAGAG